AAGTTAACACAATTGAGTGAAAGTAGTGGTGGGATGATGATGATGATGGTGATGATGATGATGATGATGATGATGACGACGACGATGGTGGTGGTGGTGGTGGTGAGATGGGGGGGAAGATGGGAGGTATTTATGTACTCAGTGTGTAGAAAGTAGCTAGAAATCACAATTTTGTCTTCCTCTCTCTCACAATGGTAGATTTCCCGATGGCATTCATGAAGAGGAGGTAAAAGATAAATAAAAGAATAACTGCATACCGTACATCCTGATATATTAGCTTTTAATAGTACTACACACTATGTTACAGAACTCACTGTTACAAGATGCAGTAGCAAGAAGTATTTAATGGGAATTACATCCATTCACAGAGGCTAGGTTAGCTGTAATTGCTGGGTTGGGGGAATAAAGGGGAAAGATTATTGCCTTTATTCCATGACTGTAGACTTCACTGAGACATCTAATGGCCATTATGGTTTGGACACCTGGGCACACCTGTAGTCTGTTCTGGAAAGGATTTCACCTTTCCTATATTCCAGCTGTCATTGCCTGACTTCTAGAATTCAGCTGTTCAGGTAAGTGTTTGGCTGTTTTGACTGCATCTTCCATTAGCTCCAGCCAACATAGCTAGACACGGGGGAGGGAGTGTTGGGGGTGGGGTGAGAATTGTAATCGGTATATATCAGATTGGCTATCTGTAGTGTAGGTCTTCAAGGAGAAAGCCATGGAAGTCTCCAGAAAAGAGAGGCAAAGCTCTCTCTTTTGGTCTGAACTGACCCAAACAACTGCCCCCCTCCCACACTGGGCCATTCTCAGGATGCAACAAACTTTCCCATTGTATGTTTTACTCCCAGGCAAAGCAGATCGTCTTTTGCTATTGCAATTCACCAAATAATTGCTAGGAAAGTTCTCCTTTTGCCACATCCATGCAGAGAGTATCAGTCATGTGAGAAGCACTAAGCAGAAGAACACGCAAAGAGGTGATCTGTAAAAGATCTCCTGCAAAATCAAGAGAGCCCACATTGACTATTTTGCTAATATATGGAGAGCAGTCCCCATCATTTGGACTGAGGAACTGTGCTATTTCACATATATCCAGAAGATATACCCAGAGGGCTTGCTTAGAGCTAGAAGGTAATAGATTGATCAACTTCAAGATGAGTGGGCAACTAGGTACCTTCCAGATGTTTTGAATACAGCTCCTTTAACCTCTTGCCTTATCTGAAACTGATGGATCTGGAGGGTAGCCAGCTGCCTGTCCCTGCTTGCTTTACCAGGGCATTGATATACAACAGTATCAATGAGTTTGCCCTTGCAGTTCTGGGCTTATATTCTAAAGCAAAGGCATTACTTGTTACAGTACGCTGAAGCACCTTTAGATGTCTCTCTGAATATATTGTGTTTGGGGGAAAAAAAAGGAGTGCAGGCGGAAAAATTGTTTGTCTGCAGCTGTTTCCTTAAATAAATTATCTTGTGGCTTGGGTTGTGACAGAAATCAATAACAGCAAGCAATTGCCCAGCCAACATTTTTGGTAAAAAATTGAACATGCAAAGATGGTGCATAGCCAGACTGAGTAGGGGGAAGATGGCTTGTAGCTGTAAAGCTGTGGGCAGAATTACATGTGGAAAGCAGCAAGCATAATTTCTCCTATATCACACCATTGTAATGCCAGATCCTGTGTGTTTAGTATAAACAAAATAGGAACCAAGTAAATCTCTGGATGAGTGAGTTGTGTCCTCCGCTGGTGGCTGGAACGAGAAGCAATACCATCTTTTACATTAACTTCAAGAGGTTGAGTGGGGGAAGCAACTATTTGCTTGACCCCCATTCTGGAGCCACCCCAGGGAAAAACACTGTGCAAGTATGTGACCTAACTAGTGCGTCTTTGTGCAGAATTTGTGAGTATTGGGAGCAGTGATACAACTTCCTTCTGACTCTTCTTCTTCTTCCTGTTTCAGTTCCTCAGGGGCGGCCTGGCTGGCACATCTGATGGAGCAGTGCAATCAGAGTTCCGTGACTGAGTTCATCCTCCTGGGCCTGGCAGAGGGGGCCCTGTCAGAAACCATGCTTTTCGTTCTCTTTTTGGCCATGTACTTAGTTACCCTAGTAGGCAACTGCATGATGGTCATGTTGATTGGGGCTGAGCATCGCCTACACACGCCAATGTACTTCTTCCTCCTCCATTTGTCTCTGCTGGACCTCTGCTACTCCTCAGTTACCATCCCACAGATGTTAGCACACCTCCTCTCCAGAGATAAAGCCATATCCTTTGCCCGATGTGCCTTCCAGATGTACATTTTCACGGTGTTTGGTATGGCAGAATGTGTGCTGTTGGGTCTTATGGCCTATGACCGCTACGTGGCAATTTGCCATCCCTTACATTATACCACTATCCTGAACTGGCACTTCTGTAGCTGGACAGCAGGAGCTGCCTGGTTGAGCGGCTTCCTCAACTCCCTCATTGTCAATGCCTTTGCTCTGCACCTGCCCTACTGTGCCCAAAATCACATCAATCAGTTCTTCTGTGAGTTACCGGTTGTGATGAAGCTGGCATCTGCTGACTCTTCGGAGGCGGAGGTAGTTTTGTTTGTCCTTGGTTTCTTTCTTCTGCTTCTGCCTTTCATCCTCATCACTGCCTCCTATGGCCGCATTGTGATTGCCGTCTTGCGCATCCGTTCGGCTGAGGGTCGGCGCCGAGCGGCTTCAACCTGTGTTTCGCATCTCCTGGTGGTGAGCCTTTTCTATGGCACAGCCATCTTTGCCTACATGAGGCCTAGCTTCGTCAGCTCTGCCACAGGTCAGAATAAGGATGTCTCTGTTTTGTACACTGTGGTCACCCCCATGATGAACCCACTCATCTATAGCCTTAGAAACAAGGAGGTGAAGGGTGCTCTGAGGAAATTATTAAGCAAGAAAAAATCCTCACCAGAGACATGACTCTGGAGCTGCCTTCAGCTCTGTTCAGAAACTGATGGTGAGGGTCCATATTTTATCTTTAGCCAGCCAGGAAAACTTAACATTTTATTGGTAAAGGAGAGGATCTTTGAGAGTTCTTGTAAAGATTCCTCTTTAGTCCTTTATAAACAAATCTTGTCCAAGCATTATTGGACCCCTACAGAGGCTTCTGGTCAGTTTATCAGTACTGTATTTACTGGAAAGGAAGACTAGATTTTTTCTTCCCAGATAAGTTATCTTTACAATTAGAGGATCATCTTAGATCAGCTGAGAATAATGCAACAGCAGAGGCAGATGAATTTTCCATATCTAAGTTTCCCTTTTCAAGGGATCATTCAAGACCAGTTTCCATTTGGCTGAGTATGATGTTTTCTTCTTACTATTAAATTCTTTGCAAATGCCTTGAGGAACAATTAGTCCTGTGTGAATAAAATCTATACAGTACAAGCCTGCATACTCTGTGTCCTAAGGATCTTTTGCCCAATTTATATTATGCTTTCTGTAACTAAGGAGAGTGGGAATGCCTTTTGAGTAAGTTACAAGTAGCTGAAGGTCTGTGTCCGAGGAAGAACCAAAGAACTAATCCATTAGAGTTTTTATCAACATATATCAGCATATATCAGCTGATTTCCCAAACTAGAGTAGACTAGTGAGAAACGTGGTCTCGAGAAGCACCTTTTGCCTGAGCAAGAGAGCCAATAAGAGGTTAGAGAAAGACAAATGCTTCTTTAGGATGATTCCTGAAAGGCCTTTGAAAGACCTGATCCCAGAGGAAAGGGGAGGCAGAAATTCATTGGCAGCATCCATTCAGGCTGCTCTGTGCAAGTCTTCTTTTCCCCAACCCAAGCACTGGCACACCTGTTCAATCTCAGCACTAACTTATACATTGAGCTTCCTACAGGTGGAAGAATAGGAATAGAATAGGCTTATATCTTATGTAATGCTTTGATCAATTTAATTCCTTTTAACACTCGTTTTCTGCTCAGAAAAAAAAAACACAGAAAACTCAGCATCCTCTTGCATCAGTTCTCTGAACTTGCTGGAAGTGTGGGATTTGTACTAGTTTCTCCATTGTTGATCTAATGGCCAGGCTGGTAGTGGATGGAGTGGGTGGTCTTTTGCCAAGCCATGAAGGGCTGCATATGTCAAAGCCAGGACCTTAAGTTTATCTGGAAGCCATTCAGCAACCAATGTAGGATCTGCAAAGCCAGTGTTACAGGCTCCCAATGCAGGGAGTCAGAACGTTTGCAATAAAAGTTGCATCAACAAGGATGGATTCAAATTCCTCTGAAACTGTGCATTTTTAGTTCACACTGGACTCAGTGAAGCAAATCTTTATTTTGAGGGAGGGAGGGAGGGAGGGAGGGGGATTATTTGGTAGTAATCCGAAAAGAACCTGATGACTGTGTTAACAGAACACACTTAACATTGTTACTGAATTGTGTTTTAATGTATTCATTTTAATCAATTTATATGGCTGCCCATCTTGCAACTTTAGCAATTCTTGGGGGCTAACAAAGTTAAAAACTCAGGAACACAACCAAAACAACAACAATAAATATACATATAATGGCAGCCAAGGACAACAACAGTCTCAACAATAAAAACAAAAAGCACATCTCACAGGTCCCATTACTCCCCATCTCTGGGGAATTAATATAGGTTTGCACAGTACCTCAGAACACAGAATAACTTTGTAATCTGGCTTGCACAACACACTAACCTTGCCTTCCCAAACTAAACAAGCTGAGAAGATTATGTGAATCCAGCTAGTGGTTTTGTAACTGACGTGGTTATATGCGTTATAAAACACAGCCAGAGGGACTTATTCCCAAGCCAGCAGGGTTACATGGAATTTGCAACGAGATAACTTTATGTATTGACGATGCTCATTTGTCACAACTGAAGCTCCAACTCTGTCTTAGCTGAACATGCGACGCTCAGTATGACAGCCTTTCTCAACCCTGCATCTTCTGGATATTTTGGACTATAAGTCCCATATCACCAGTCAACACAACAGCATAGTGCAATATTTTTGTATCTCTCAGCTAGCATCCCAGCATCCTGTCTGGGGATTCTGGAAGATTTAATCTCAAGCCTTCTGGAATGGACCAGGTTGATATAGTGCCTCGCAGCTTCTCGTGAGCATGTAAATTCTGGAAGTTGTCCGCTTAGAGAAATCAAGTCTGAAAACACCATTGCAGCTCGAGGGATAAGGAAACCACTCTCCAGAATACAGGGATTCAGCATATCTATACTGTGCCAGCCCCAAGAAGTTTCAGTGTTGCCACACTTTGCATTCAGTAAGTCGAAGTAATCCTTGTAGAGACATGAGAAATCAAGGTCAGTGGAACTTTCACGTTCTGTGCTTTCTACTGAGGCATATAGGCAGCATCACTCTCATGGGGGGGGGCGGTGTCCCACACAGAGACAATCAGTGGTCCTCTGGCATAAGCTATAAGGGCCTCGTGGAACTGGTAGCTCTGGAGTCATGCTTATAATCAAATTATGAAAGCACTGTTACTGCTTTGATGGAGCAGAAAACCAGAGGAGGAGAAGAAGCAGGAGCCACAAGCCACAATATACAGGTTTTGTTCTGCTCTGCCAACCAGAACTTTTTCATATGTAGAGGCACACGCTTGCATGCTGGTTATAGTCAGACTGTAGTATCCCTTCTAACTGGCAAGTAATGTATGATGTCCTATTTAAATGGTTGACAATATTTAGAAGGATGGATGGATGGATGGATGGATGGATGGATG